GAACTGCTTTTCCTCTGTCTAATAATGTTCGAATGGGAATTTTTCATGACTTCTGTGTCACTCTAGCAAACCTCACTATGATTTTAAGATCATCTGCTCATTCCACGTCAACTTTCTCCGTTATATACTCCTGAATACAGTGAAGGCCCTGGCTATTCATTCACGAATTTAACCCAGCTATAACTATGTGCATAAAGAAGTATGGAAAATCCCTACTTCCACCCTGTTCATAAAAGGGTAGACATTTTTTTATTATGTTTATTTAGTTACTATATGTACCTTTCCGTCATTACTTCAGTTAATAATATTATTATCACTATTCACACTGAATTGTTTCTGCTTTTCCCACTTGTCATTCTAGATTCGAAAATGTTTTATTAACAGGGCACAAAAACCTAGCGAATTCAAGATAAGATAAAATCTGGGAAATATTACAGCGATAGCACTCACTACCTGCAATTAAAAACGACCACACTTTCGTATGCGCGTTGGTAGCAGAGTGGTAGAATACTCGTCCACTACACAGGTTGTCCAAGAATCTATCCCCATTGGGCCACTGACACACTTCTTTACTTCGCTAAGTCAGTAATGCGACTGTAAAGAGAGAAAAGGTTGAGCATGAGGCTATCAACTTCACACCGTAAAATAAACACCACTGCTACTGAAACTTACTCATGCTTGAAGCCTTATGTTCCACTGGGGACGTAATGGAATAAAGAAATCTTTTAGCATGATAGAATAAGATGAGGGTTTTAGAATCTAATATAACAGGGTGCAGGTAGCAGGATTGCTAACTGACTGAGTCTTTATTTGTCGAATCGATTGAGATGGGGGAAAACATGTGATAGCAGTGATTCAACGCCTGTCCACGCCGACATCTGGAGAATCCTACCGACGACCGCGAAGCTGAAGGCAAAAAAAGATAACTGTGAAACGAGATTTTGAAAGTTTGGGTAATTATAATTGATAAAATGATAATGAAAAATAGATAAATTGTGTTCAAAAGGCTTCGTCATCCAGTGTTGAATAATACTGCCTCGCTGACTGTATGTATGTGTGTGTGGTATCTAATTAACAAATTAATATAGTATTTTTATTGCGAATTTCGAGAAAGTTACTCAATTTCACACACAAACCAAGTTTGATTAATTTTCTCTCTCATATTTTCTATTGCCTGCAGCAAATTTGTCCAGTAGATATCCCACCAAAATTTTATCTTGAAAACGACAATATCATGATGCCTTTAGGTCATCAACTATACGAAAATGAACTCCTGCATTGTGACGACATTCATTGACCGCCTACCTGTGTGAAGTAGAATTTCTCTGGATGCTCGATTCGTAATCATGTGAAGATGAAGAAGTCGACTTTCTAAAATAAACTCCGCCTAATCGCATCACTGTTGTTCTTGGTTACATTTACTGTGGTGTGGTGTGCGAATGGATAGCTAGATGAACTTTCCTTCTTTCTTTATTTCAATATATATATATATATATATCGCTTGAACAGTGAATAATGCTCACAAGGAAGGGATTATTTGTGAATCATGTTACACGTACGTAGATGATAATGCATGAGCTGTGGAATCACGTTTGTAAGCGTTTCTGTATTTCGCAATGCATGAAAAACAAAATGATATTGGTTTGTCGCATTACTGACGTTTCGCTAATTAATGCTACTGCCAATAGCTTAATTAAAGTAGTCATACTTAACCGAAATTCAGTTTACTTTCAGAGCTGATTCAAACGGATGTGATTTGACTGACTTTTTTAGTTAAGAGGAATGAATGAATTAATGATTATTCAGGAAGAAAATGGAACACTCCAACAAGTATCTAGACATTTCGTATCACTACATCCATCCCACCAGTACAAAGTTGTCAGTTGTCTGAAGTTGAAATTAACCACCCGACATTTGAAGGGAATAAGCTTAAAACCATTTGACAAGGACCACTGTGTAAAGTAATTTAATGTAGTCTCACGGTGATTGGTAGGCAATGTACCTATTTAACGTCAATGAATGGTCATCGTGCACCTGTGCAGCTACAATCTGTTGAACGCCAAATCCAGTTGTTGCAGTCAGATTTTCTTACCTAGACAAAATATGAGAAAGTTGTCATACAAATTTATGAATGAAACCTGGTTCATGGCACGCTTCATCCATAACGACGCGAATGACACTTGTGAGAATTGGAACAATCTTGTAGCTATGATGATCTCTGTTTTTGGAATATCTTCTAGTGCCATCGTGTGTAACTTATACATGTTTCAAATAATTAAATCCGTGGAAGTAGATGGCGGAGAATTTTCTTAGCACAAGTCAGTTCATGTGTCCATCAAAATCAGCAATAGTCAAAAGTTTTGTGTTTTCTTCCATGGTTTAACCTTCGTCAACCTACCAATATTGGGTGATAATTCCTTCTTATGGTGTTTACGACATGGGAGCAAATTAAGCATCCATATATGTTAACGTCCAAAACAAAATGATAACTTCAGTTGGTTATTAGCAGGCTAAATAATTACGTAAATGATTCAGTGCGATGAACACAGCAGAGATAGAAATTTTTCAACAGCACAGAACGTTTCAATCCATTCTCGGAAAGCTTGTTAAATGCTCACTATGTCGTAGGTAAGCCAAAGTATTCGGAAAACTACACTTCACACTCCTAAATGCCTGGTATGTTTGATTCAGATGAATGAGTGTTGTTCACTGTTTCTCATTCACTGAATGTTTACAAAAGGAATAGTAATAACGAAGTGTGATATAGTTTCATTGGAAATTATAAGTCACAAGGAATGTATGCATCTGCGCCAGCCATCACTGAGAATGATTTTGAGTCATTACACTTATTGTCTCCAGCCTTCATTGGTGTTTCCCGTCCCGAGGACCTCAAACAGGCGTGACATGAAGGAGATCGTGCCCTGGAATAGGATGAGAACTTGTCACTGGACGTGGAATCTCTATTTACAAATGTGCCGTTCACAGACACAATTTGTTTCCTTTGCAAATATATGGACGACAAAAACCTGACTATCGGAATATCAACCCCATATCCGAAAGAGTTGTAATTAAGGTGCACACTCAACGACCTCACCTATAGACAGATCCGGATTTTCAACTCCAATGTGAAGTCAGTGCTACTATATGGATCAGAGACTTGCACTGCGCGTCATAAAGAGCATCTCAAACAAACTACAGACCTTCATTAACAGTTGTCTTCGCTCAATACTCAAGATCAGCAACAGGGATCTCTGACAATGAGCGAACCAACCAGGAACCGATTGTGAAACAAATAGGCAGCGAAAAATGGAGATGGATTGGCCATACTCTGAGGAAACCATCAAGTGACACCACTAGACAAGCCATTGCTCGAGTGAAACCCGAAAGGGAAGCGGCGAGTTGGTCGTCAGTGCAAGGGTAACTTGGAGGAGGTCATATGAAGAGGAGGTGAAAACGTGTGGACAGACTTGGAATCAGATAAGGACTCTAGCAGAGAACCGAACGCAATGGAGACGCACGGCTGAAGCCCTATGTTCCTCTAGGAATGAAAGGAAACAATAATAATAATATACAGGAGTTTAATAACTGCCATCCTTCAATTAAATTCAAAATCATGGAGTCAGCTAAAGGTGACTACTGCAGACAACAGAGTGAAATGGAGGCTTGACTGTGTCCACCCTCCAAGTTGAATACATACACACGCCATTTGAAATGATGGAGAAGGCTTCTGTGTAGGTTTTCGGTGTTATTATGGTTGTGTAATTTCAGTTGGATGGTCTAATTACAAAGCTTTCATCTTATGTCAGAGGTAACCTCAAAATAAAGTAATTTCTTGGTATTCTTCATAACACTAAACAGTGTTTCGCCTGATGAACTCGAACATGAACAGTTATCCCCCAAAGCTTCTATCGATCCTGTCGCTCACACTTGTATTTGTACTGATTATTGCGATGATGTGATATTTACAGGATTGATCATGAGCGGACAACAGTAAGAGAATCATCGGAAAACCGCATAAGAATACGAGGTGGTTGTTTCACACTTGCCCGGGATTCTTTACCAGCACACGCAATAACCATGGTTCTCACTCAGGACCATCTGTGTACAACAAGTCAAGCTCCCTGACCATTCAACCATTTGAACCTGACCCAATGGTCCAACTTCTACCAATTCGTGATACACATTTAGTGCAACCGCCACCCAATGTCATAAGCTGTTGAGTTTAGGACGAAACAGATATCCAGTAATCCACTACCGCATTCCAGAGGTTCTTTAACTGATGTCAGTTGGTGGTCGATCCTGTAGCCGATCGAATTCCTGCAAACCAACACGTGACTGATAAATGATCGCGTTCATCGTGTGGCTTGTTGTGTTATTACTTGGTAAATCTGATCTGTAATGGTGAGTCTGCTGATTCAGTGAAATCCCTGTTCAGCAACACTTGTAAATTATTCAATCGGTTGTACACTTGTGATTGACTCAAGGAGTTGGACTTTCTGGCAGCGAAACGCGTCAACCGAGAGACTGAGCGACCGTGAGAACACACACTTACCGAAAATTTTCGCTGACCGCAGGTCTCTTTCACCAGCTCGTAGAATTAGGAACTCATGGAACACTGGATTCTATCCTAGGTTAATGTTCAACCGATTAGATCTCCGAACGGAATCTTTGGCATGTAAAATCAAAAGGGTTCTAGCCTAGGATGGATCGTGTTGCTGCTATATTTTGATTGAACTAGCGTATACACATATCCTAATACTTCCTCGCGTTTACAATTGTGCCCTAACGTTGTGATTACTCGACATCCACAACGTAATTCAAAAGGCACTTGCGAAGGAATACGATAGTGTATTGTTGCAGCAATCAACAATTCAAAAATCGAGCGAGTACAAAAGGTATCAATTGTTAACATGCAAGATTTAGAGTAATAACAAATCAAAGTACAATTACATAGTGAAAGTATACTGAGATGATGAGTAGTAAAACGGGTCACTACAATAGCCCCTCCGTAGAATGCAGGTAAATGAAGTTTACCTGTATTCGGAATGATATTGTAAATTACAAGAACAAAAAAAATATGAAAACCGAATTGAGGCTTTTTAGTTTTCTGAGGTTCGATTATAACTGTATATATTCGATAATGTTAACAACTTTGAAACGAACTAAAATGTTTAGAAAGTTGTGCAACATGTAACAATAAAAGCAGAAAAATTATTAGAATAATAATGGGGTTGTTATTGTAAAGAGTTACAGAATAGATTTATATCTTAACATACAGTTAATAGTATAGTAATAAGGTAGTATGGAAATGAGTTGGGTAAACATTCAGTTACCTCTATTTCCATGAAAGCTGGTTGTACAAGAAGAGATGGCTGTGCCAGAGAAGAGTGCAGCAGTAGCTGCTGCTGCTGCTGATACGGTTGAAAGTGAACGTCCGTCAGCATGTTGTTGCTGTTGCTGGGGTGTTGTTACTCGGCGTTGAGGAGTAACTTGAATTGATGTTTGCTGAGGTTGGAGAGTAGAAGTTGGTTGATTGATAGCCATTGCAACAAGAGCAGTTGGCATAAACTGTGGTAAACCAGTGGTTTGAATCAGCTGACCGTTAGGACCAACAGTCATGACTTTTAATGGAGCTCCTGGTGCCAGAATGATAAACTGGGGAGTAGCATAGGAGCGTGCAGCTACAGTATCAGGTTGACCACTGACAGGGACGTCAGTTGCCATCATTGTTGCTTGTTGCTGATGTTGTTGGATATAAGTTGGCTGTTGAGCTGGTTGTAAGTGATGAGCTTGTGCTTGAATCTGTTGTTGTTGAGGTGATTGGGTAAACTGTTGTAATTGAACAGTTGTAGGACCGGCTTGAGTAAATGGAGTTGCAGACCATTGTAAGAGTGTTTGCACACCTGTAGACAATGCTGAAGCTTGAGGACAGAGAACTGGAATTGAGGTGTTGCATAACAGCCAGCTGCTATAGCTTCTTGAGTATCAGGGTGAATTGGGATAGCAGTCGCTGTTCCGCCAGGTCCGGAGGTACATTTAGCAGAAATATCAGTAATTATACATCCGAATGTTATGAAGTTATAAAAGTTAATGCGACGGCAAAGATGATTTACTCCACTGTGTATACTTCGAAATGATGTAGTCCACCAATCAGCTATGTCGGGCTCGCCAATTTGTTGCTGCGATATTTTGATTGAACTAGCGTATACACATATCCTAATACTTCCTCGCGTTTACAATTGTGCCCTAACGTTGCGATTACTCGACATCCGCAACGTAATTCAAAAGGCACTTGCGAAGGAATACGATAGTGTATTGTTGCAGCAATCAACAATTCAAAAATCGAGCGAGTACAAAAGGTATCAATTTTTAACATGCAAGATTTAGAGTAATAAACAAATCGAAGTACAATTACACAATGAAAGTATACTGCAATGATGAGTAGTAAAACGGGTCATTACAATCGGATGTTGAATACTCCTTGGTTCCCGATGGTTTATAAGCTAATTTATTATCTACGGGATCACCTACTCGTCTCATTGTCCTGTTGCCAGCTGCTTCCCTAACTAACTGTTCCAAACTGAACAGCTTTCTATCCGACATCAACCAGTCTAAGCTTAATGCTCTAACGTCAAATAAACCCCTCCAAATATCAGACAGTCAATTTCACCTTCAGCAATTAACCTCATCTTAACGAAATCATTACTACACGCGATGCTCTCACCTTAGAGGCCAATGATATAGACAATAAGTCAGGCATAAAATACCCTCCTATAGTTCTGTACCCTCACCTTTCTTCATCTCTCCACATACTATGTATTTCTAAGAAAATCCTCAGTCTAACCTTCGACACTGAGAAGTTGGAACAATCTGGAACTACTAACCTCAACTCTTGCAGTTTGTTAACTCCTCCATCTTACCAATTGCTCTTCATTGCTCCCCACAACCACACCTTACTCTTTCCTCGACAACTTACTAGTAAAGGAGTATGCCCTATTACGCAAAGGTTCTTCGTAGGGTAAGTTGTGTGCCATGTAGTCGGCTCATTACTAACAAAGTTGACAGAAACCTGAACTCATGTGAGAATCTGTCTAAATCTATACTGTCTGACTCTCGACACTCCATCCCGTCTCTATTCACAACTGTCACCGCTTTCCATCTCATCTGGTAGGTCTGTCTAGAAGTCATTGTAATAAAAGATGATATGCTCGATCGCATAACCAAGTATTAAAAACTCAACGATAGATAACCCATTTGGTTCACCCACCCGACTGTGTTCTACTTGATAAAGATAGTGTCAAACATGTGAAACTTACGAATAACTGGGCTATTGGCATCTTTTAAAAATAGGACAGTCATCCTCTCGCATTTATAATTCGACGGTGACACTTACTATCCCCATTATCTTATAATTTTGTGTCAGTAATACTGATAATATCATTATTATTATTATCATCATAATTTTCTTCCCCTAACGCCTAAAGTTGTTGGTGTTATCAATAATCCTGGTCAAGTGTACCCTGTACCTCTGTTGTTCTTTCTGTTAAGTGGATTAGACGCAATTATTGTACAAAATGCTGAAATCTTCACACTGTTTTGGAATTAAGCAAATCATCATTATTAGGGGTAATTGCATCATCACTCCAGCCATTCATGAAGAATTCTAGAAAAACTCTCACGGATGCCTAGACGAAGCAGACAATCAAAGCATCGCAATTGAAACACACCACACCTCTAGCTCAGAGAAAACAAAAACAGAAGAAAAATCTTTTCTTAAAATATGTGATTTTCACTCTAACAACTAGTCTAAATCCGTATGAAGGTGTGAAATATATATGCAGAGTGAAGTGGCTCACTGCACCAGTTCATTGATCGCCTAACTTATCTATCTAGAAAATGCCCAGTAGGCTGAGATTAGGACTTTCCAGAAGTTCTCCGATGGTTTTTGTCTAACTAATGCCGAATGCCTGAATCCAATGAAATCCCTGCAAACCAACACTTGAGTATCACAATCTGATGCTCACTAGAGCAACCGGCCTTATTCAGATACGTACTAGCTACCTGGTTTCCAGTGGGAAGTCATGACCGGCATGGAGTACAGCACTTCCGGAATGAGGACTGGTCGTCGCACGATATCCTGAATAGGCAGAAGTTGGAATTCCTCATGGGCTGGTCATTGGATCCGGAACCAGTAGTTTAATGGTCTACAAGCTAGCTCGCCGTCTCGTAACCGATGGGTCTTCTTCTCCAACCAATGTGGTAGGTCCGTTCTGATGGAGAGTTACAAACTACAAAAAGAAACAACTGCCCAATACTTCTCTGAGCAATGTCATCTCATGATGAAAACCCATAACCAATCAATCCAATCAAATCAAATCCCCACAAACTACACTTGTTTTTGCAACTGGACCTCATCAGCATGTCAGTGGTAGAATGCTCGCCGACCCCACGATCCCCGACCGACGTACTCATAAACCTCGCTGACCCGCTAAAGTCAGTATACGGTGGGGGGAAGGCTAGCAAACTCACTCTACTGCTACTGAAACTCCTAAGCACTCTAGCTTGAAACCATATGTTCCACATCGAAAGTAAAGAAATAAAATAATACTAATAATAGTAAGATTTCACCAGGCTTCACTCTCCAATATACCCACATAACTTTACAAATAAATATTAAAATATAAACTAATCACGGTTGTATGGTCGTCAACTGGATGGTAACACTGTGCAAATAGTCTGATAATAATAATAGTAATAATAATAATATCAATAACAGATGTGATGAAAAAGCCAAGCGTTCTTGTGAAAACAACAGTTTCGACTCCGTGGATCGCGAGATACTATGACCATGTTTGACTGTGAAGGGAGTGCCAAGAAAGTACATTGCACTAATCAAGGCACTCTAATCAAACTCACGTAGCCACGTAAGGGCTTATGGGGAATTGTCATCTGAATTGATAACAACCAGTGGTGTCCGTCAAGGATGTCCACATTCCCCCTTTTCTGTTTTACTTCATCATTGATAATGCTAATGGAAGTATCCTTAACTGAACTTAACGACTTAGGAGTCGACTTGTTACCAGGGAATAGTCTTATGGACTTAGAATATGCAGATGACATAGTCCTGTTGGGGGAGGATGCTGACAAAATGCAGTCTTCTGAACACCTTGAGCAACAATCTTCGTATGTTTGGCATGCGATTCGCCCCTGTGAAATGTAAGATGCTGCTACAGGACTGGACTACGTCAACTCCCAGTTTAGTGATAGGGAGTGAAGTGATAGAACATGTTGACCACTTCACCTATTTGGGAAGTTGTATCAGCACCAACGGATTGATTGGTGACCAAATCTCAGAACGGATCCAAAAAGCTCGGGCTGCTTTCGCTAACTTACATCATCTCTGGCGTAGGCGTGACATCCGACTATCAACCAAGGGACGTGCGTACTGCCCAGCAGTTCGCTCCGTCTTTCTCTATGGCTCTGAAACATGGCCAATACGAGTTGAAGACATGAAAAGGTTGTCTGTTTTTGATCACAGATGTTTACTATCTCTTTCTCGCGCTAGGTGGCATAATAAGGTAAGTAATGTTGACGTTAGGCGTAGAGTGTTGGTTGGGCAAAGAGGGAAAATCAATCGAAGAGGCTATAAAGTTACATAGATTGAGATGGTTAGGTCACGTGCTGCGTATGCATAACCATCGTCTCCCCCGCCCGACGGGCATTACTAGCTGATATAGGTGCAGGTTGGAAAAGAGTAAGTGGTGGCCAAACAAAAACATGGCATCAATCCATGAAATCCTTGACAGTTAAACTCAGTCAGGTAGGGAGATGCAGACTTCCGGGTTGGGGCCCTCGGGACTCTAAGAATCAATGGCTGGAGACACCAGGGGACATGGCTCAAAATCGTTGTCAATGGCTTACGCAGATGTATTCAGTCTCTGTAAACTTTCATATTCCTTTCTACCATTACTCATTCTGTTTCACTCTTACACTTGTCAAAACTCTATTGATTCTCTTCACTCATTTTCTTGTCTACCTTTGTGACCTCTTTGGGACGTGGCAACTCGAACTGCTGCACTTCGGTGCCAAGTTCTATGTTGAATCAAGCCAGTCAGCAGCCTAAGTATCTTCAATCTCTCAAACCTACTCAGTCCCTTGGTCCTGGTGGAGTTCCCGCTGTTATCCTTAAGAAGTGTGCCGACATCTTATGTTACCCATTAACTGACATTTTCAACGAATCTTTCTCCAAAAGTATTATACCTGACTCATGGAAAAATATCAAGGCTGTTCCATTGCCTAAATCAACAAGTGGACCTTCTGTCAAGTTTAGACCCATTGCTATTACCTCACCTTTTTTGAAAGTTATGGAAAGACTTATTTTACTTAATCTTGAACTCTCCTTAAAGCCTTTCAATGACCCTAACCAGTTTGCTTATAAACATAGTAGATGTATCTTAGATGCCGCTGTTGTTCTATATCATAATATAGTCTCTAGTTTACATAGAGGAGCTAAATACGTTAGGTGTGCCTTCCTCGATTTAACATCTGCATTTGACTCTGTACCTAGGTCCCTCTTGCTGAGTAAGCTTGCTGCAACACAGGCTGAAAGCTGGACACATAAGTGGTTACATTCCTATTTTTTTGATAGGAAGCAGTACTGCTGCTGCTACTGTTCCCTTGGGTTCCTAGTGGAACATAGGGCTTCAACTGCACGTCTCCACTTGCTTCTGTCTTCTGCTGTACTTTTCACCTGCATCCATGTTAGTCCATACTGTTTCAACTCTTCTTCACACGATCTCCTCCATGTCAGGCAGAAATTACCCTGCTACACTCCTATATCCTCACCCTTCTCGTCTCCCCATATCCTGTCTATTTCTAAGGAAATCCTCAGTCGAACATTCTACATTGAGAAGTTACAACAATCTGGAATCACTCAACCTCAACTTTTACAGTTTGTGGACTTCTCCATCTTACCAATTACTCTTCATTGCTTCCCACAACCACACTGTAGTCTTCCCTGCACTACCTACTCAAAAAGGAGTATGTTCTATTACTCTGGGTGTGAGAGGTTGTTAGTAGGGTAATTTGTGTGCGGCTCAGGCAACAGACACCTGGACTCGTGTGAGAAATCGTCGAAATCCATGTATATTTTCTGGCTCTAAACACTCTATCCCCTCTCTCTTCAGTACTTTCTTCCTACCCACTGAATCTCATCACTAGGACTGTCTAGAAGTCCTTATATAAGGATTATATGCTCGCTTGCACAACGAAGTATAGTAACTGAACGATAGCCTATGTGTTTCATCCCATTGACTGCGTTCTACTTCATTAAGACAGTGTCAAACAAGTGAAATTTACGAATTGCTGTGCTATTGGCATGGTTTAAGAATCGGTCATTCATTCTCCTATATTTGTAATTCCATGGTGACACTCACTATCCCCATTATCTTATAATTTGGTATCAGAAATACTGATAATATCATTATTCTTATGGTAACTTTCTTCTGCTACTACCTGAAGTTGTTGGTGTTATCAAGAATGCTGGTCAAGTGTATCTGTACCTCTGTTGTTCTTTATGTTGAGTAAATTAGACGCAATATTGTATGAAATGCTGGAATCTTCACACCCTAAGATAAAGAATAAAGCAAATCACCATTATTAGATAATTGCATCATCAGTCCAGCTATTCATGAAGAATTCTAGAAAAACCCTCATGAAATCAGGAATATGAAGTAGACAATCAGAGCTTTGCAATTAAAACTCATCTAGCCAAGAGAACAACAAAGAATAAAATAGTTTCTTAATGTAGGATTTTCACTCCCTAACCCGTTGAGTAAGGTCGGTAAACGGTGGGTGAAACGTTAGCAAACTCACTCCACTGCTACTGAAACTGCTAAGCTCTCTAGCTTGAAGCCATATGTTTCATACGGAAAGTAAGGGAATAAAACAAAAATTATAATAGAAAGATCTCATCAGGTCTAACTCTCCGATATACCAACATAACTGTGCAAATGACTATCTAAATATAAACTAATCACGGTCGTATCATCGGCAGCAGGATCATAAAACTGTGCAATCAGTCATAATAATAATAGCTGAATTTTAGATTTCCCGTTGATTTATTGGACCAATGTACCCGGTCTCAGGTTGATGCTTCGACGATGTCTGGGCATGTAATTAGAATTTAATTGGTGGATGAGGACTAGTGGTGAAATCCAGGATGCGCATTTCGTCCTATTTAGGACTCGTCAACTGAATGTACTTGCATTCCCCAGGCAGTGAGTGATGATCTTCTTAACGAGGCTCGAACCCAGTGCCCATAGTTTCAAACGCCAAGGCGTTACTCACTAGACCACTCGGGTCAACGACGCCAAGACATCGTCGAAGCATCTGCACAAGAAGCCGACATGTCAGCTTGAGTTCGAGTACTTCGGTCCAATCAATCGACGGGAAAATCCAAAATTCAATTAAAATTAATATGACGCGTTGCACAAGAGGTGGCTCTCGTGGTCCAAGTGGTTTAATGGATAACGCTTTAGCGTTTGAAACTATGGACACTGGTTTCGAGCCTCGGTGGGAATATCATCACTCACTGGGAATGCAGGTACATCCAGTTGATGAGTCCCAAATACGACGAAATGTGCATCGTGGATTCCACTGCTAGTCAACATCCACCGACTGAATAATAATAATAATAATAATTCTATCGATAACAGATGTGATGGAAAAGTCAAGTGTTCCTGTGATAACAGCAGTAATGATATTTACAAATTGTGTGTTCCCTGCCTCCCTCCCTCCCCCATTCACGCATACCACTTTATCCCAACCACAGATGTGTTAAAAAAAGTGAGATAAAAAAATATAAATTATAAAGATAGAAAAGAGAAAAATCAAATTTATACACACATTCATACGCAGCATAAGGGGCTCTTCATCAATAGCCTACCAAGGTGAAACTCTGAAGGAAAGTATACATACATATAGAAAAATAATCATCACGTATCTAAGAGATTATGACAATTCCGGAATATTTGGTTGGTTCACTGTTGTCCTACCACCGCCAGCAGAGGACACTGGTGGATGTCCAGCACATATAGGTTTAGCGATTTGTGATTGACAGCGACGTCTAGTGATATAGCGTTGACGCCGAATCTATTTAATACGTTCTAAATCACGTTTACGATAAAGCCAATCTTCTTCCTCAGCCAATTTCCATAGGCGCTGTTCACGCACCTGAGTATACTACAAGAAGAAAACATAACAAAATAGGTGGCGATATAATCATTGATGTTTAAAAGATTTCTCATCTGTATCATTAGAATGCTTGTTAGTGAAAAATTGTCCTCACACAGTAATAATATCTCAGTGTCCACAGAACCCTTAAAGCCCTTCATTTATGCCGCTATGAACAATAGTGAGATTTGGAGATTCAATTTCCCGTAGATCAATTTCACCTATCCACTAATTTCTCCACACATTATTATTATTCACATGAGACTTCAAACACTTACTTCCCTTTGAAATTTAATGATGACTACATTGCAGTTTTTATCACAAGGTAACATCACTCAGAGAACCATTGGAGAACCCGGATGTGAGTACTGCGGGTCTGTTCCACCTCAGCTTCGGACTATTCAGCAGAACGCACCCTGGAACTACCGGTCACAAGTCAAGCTCACAGGCCATTCCGGCACTGGGATCCAATCCAATGCCTTATGAATTCTAACCTGTTCCAAATCGTAATTTTACCGCGACTGTCACCAGCCAATGTCATCCGTGGCCAGGATTTGTCCAGTTACTAGTGACCAGAACTGAATGGTCCTCAGAGTTCAAATACCAATGGATGCGTACTGCTGGACAGTCCCAAACTAGCTAAAACAAAACAACTGTCCAGTACACTACCCTGGTTTTCCAATAATTCGTTAACTCGTGTCAAACTTCAAACAAATCGGATCTCTACAAAATAACTCTTGAACGTGAATACATTATTTCTCGAGTGACACTGAAAACTATGGTGTCAGTCAAGACCAGTCAGCACAAAGCATACAAACTAAGAATTACTGAAAGACAGTCTACCTCTCTAACACTTAATAACATCAACTCCAAAAGTTTTAAGGTATGTACATCGACAAAAAATTAAGACTTCCCACGATGCTACTAGCCACCCAGCTGCTCAAGTTGAATTAGGCTCAGGGCCAGGTGACTGGCTGGCTGGCTGGATTCAAATCGTTGTATCCATCAGCCTCCTGGTGAACAACTATGAGACAGGCTATGACGCACTACCTTGATGGCGCTACAAATTCTTGCTTAGATGGCTCAAAAATTACTTTCAATGATGCGCATCCACTCACATTTTTGTAATCTATCAAGGATCCATTATTCTCGATGTAGTCATCCCTTCTCTCCAACACTTCAGTTTGTTTATGCGTACATCTGAGAAGTTTAGCCAGTTGGAACTGTTGTATTTTGTACAATGATTATCTACATCGAAAACTCAGTTCAGATCAGTTCACTTTTCTGGATTCCATATACACAATATTCCTTCATAACACATCAATTATGTGTCAGGCATAACTAACTAACTGACTAACTTGGTGGGAAGTACCAATCATTTCGCTCATATGTAGGCCACACATCTGCTATCTCGAAGGCTATCGCTTATCAGATAGAGGTACAGCTGCATAAACAAAGTCTTGATAACATGTCTGTGTGCTTCGCGGACGATCAACGACTGACTGACTAGTTTCAACATAAAACTTTGCACAGACATACACTAGTTCAAGTTGCCACTCTCCCTCCATGTAGCACACAAACCAAGACAGTAAAGAGAGATTCATCAAAAGACAGATAGTAAACACAAGTGTGAGCTAGGTAAAATGAATAGTAATATGGAAGAAACAATACAGTTTTGTTGGATATGACAAATCACAAAGAGTGAATGCATCTGCGCTAGCCATCACTGAGAACGAAGATTTTGAGCCATACCACCAATTGTCTCCAGCCATCATTGGTTCCTACCATCCCGAGGACATCAACCAGACAGCAATCTACACATTGCTACGTGACTGGCTAGTTGGCTAGCTCAAACTAACTGTTATGGATTTCATTGACTGACGAAGACAGGTTTTTTCGTTTGACCATCACTGCCTCTTTTTCAACTTGATCCAGCATATGTCAGCAGCTAACACTACCCGTCAAGGAAGGCAATTGGTGGCTAGACATTCGTAACACATGTCCTAATTATCTCAATCGATTTAGCTTCACAACCTCGGAGACTAATTCTACCTCCTTACCTAAAAATCGACTTCCAACCGTAACATTACACGCCATATTATACCAGCTAACAGCGGCGAAAGAACACAGACACCTATGATCAAAGACAACTAACCGGTCTTTTCATGTCTTCCACATTCAATGACCATGCCTAACTCATCACAGCCATAAATTAGCGGCAAATGCCAAACCAGCCATCTCCATGATGGTCATCGATATCACTATTTGGCAGTAGTTAGAATTCATAAGTGGTGACTAAATTCCATAGCAATGGCTGAATGGTCACAAACGAGGTCGCCTCGTTATTTCCAAGGTCTTAGTTGCATAACGAAATCCCAATGCTTATGTCAGTTAGTGGATGAAATCAACAATGAAAAGTCTGTTTTTCATTTAAAGGACAAGAGAGAGAAACTGTAATGATAATTACTGACCAACTAACTAACCTTAAGACGTTCTTTCGTTTTTAAAAGTTCGAAACGTAGCCTGGCATTGTTTTTTCTCAACTTGTCTAGTTCTTCTTCAGGGAAGGAGGTAGTCTCTCCTTGAGCCAGTGAACCAGCATGACCTGGTTCATCGTCCTCATCATCTAACAATATACTTTCGAAGATTTGTTGTTGTTGTTGACTGGCCATATTGCCGTCTTGCTGGTTACCTGCAGCTTTTTCAGCCGCTGTCGGTGCATTCAAACGATTTGCAGACTAAAAGAGAAATCGGCACATTTAAAATAACTAACATGGAATTTTACACTTGAATCCACAGTGTTCAAATCTTATAAAACTATATATATATATATATATATATATATATATATATATGAGCAACCATCAAACAATCAATAATGTGATAAAGTGCGGTAGACTGCCCACCGACCGTGCCTAATGTGGTCCGGAGTTCGATTCTCGGTCACAGGCACATTCCTTTACCTCTGTAAGCCAGTAATAAGACTGGTAAAGCGGGAAGTTGGGCATAAAGCTAGCAACCCCAACCTGTAAAAGTAAACACCACTGCTACCGAAACCTCAAGCTAATTCTTATAAGGCTTGCAGGACTTCCTTCACTTCATCTTTGCTTGACTGGTATTCAGCTTTGACACACACACACACACACACACACAATGAGTGAAGAAAAATAATCCATTTAGAGGAAACATTTCACAAAAATAATAATCCTATCAATACAATACTATGTGAGTTATGTTGACTTCGGTGAGTATTTCTTCTACAGAGCAGACGGGGTGAAGAGGGAGGGAGGATGCAGTAAAGATGAATAAAAAGACATTAGTGGATAGGCAAAATCCAAGTTGCTGGTTGTCAAAAACGAGTGGCAGTCATCATGTGCTTTAGAAAGAAGAGGGAAATAACTTCAGTACTCTAATACTTGCCGATTCATCGTAATTATGAAACGGTTAGACTTAAGACAAACACCTACCCTTCAGTCTGAAAGTTTCCACAATGTCTTTCCACATTTCATCTATTTATAGCCTTTCCCAATTTAGTGTGTAAGAACCACGTGAGTTCAGTAATTTCACTCATCCACTATGAATGATGAAAACTCATGCCTACACCATCATCATCTTTACCAGTAAAGTCAAACCACAGTTATTCTACTACTTCTACTACTCTTACCACTGTTACTATTACTACTGCTTGAAAGTTCACTAGAATAAGCAAACAAAATAACATGCACTCTGAGGAGGAAGAAAGCACTTTAAACCAGTTTACATGAAAACACAGGAGAGATTCACTGCAAAAATAATTTCTAAAAAAAACCTCTTCACAATATGACAGGAAAACACTATTATATCATTAACTAATATCAAACACCACTTTAACAAGAAGCTCATCTGAAACAACAGTCACAAGAACATATATGCCCATCACATAGTATTCACATTCAATGAAAAACAAGAATGCAACTGGGGCTCATACATTTTTATGCACTCACTCCACTACCAGTCAATGGGTAACGCGCTAAGAACCTCACTTTTCCTACAGAGGGTTTGGGCAACCACTAACAAGGCACCAGTGGTACGATTAGTGCTCACATACAATAGGTGTGACTCATCGACAACTTCGTCGAAATCCAAGTGGCCATTGAATCTTGCCTTCTCTCAACCTCCACCCACCGCCTTCTACTCTCCAATGAAAAGCAACACAACGGAACTCAGAAAATCTACCAAATGATAAAAGCAGTTAATTATAACGGCTAAAATGTATCACCTTTCAATACACTTCCATGGATATATAAATTTATATAAAGTTCATAACATGTATTACCACTTACCTGAAGAGTTGTAATTTCTTTTAATTGTCCCTCACGATCTATACGCAAAGAATTGTTCACCACGTCTTGCTCTTCAATTTGCTGTCGAAGACGAGCTATTGTCTGAACTTGCTTATTTATTTCATCATATTTGTCGTCAAGTTGCTGATAAAGCAACTTTAACTGTTCATCTCCAACTTTCCTTGCCAAAGCCAAACCAGCTCCGACAGTGTAGGCTGAGAGAAAAACAACACACAATGATCAACGTTCTACATAGTATTTATGATACGACAAGAACGTGTAATATCTCATGGTTTCAACAAAACAAAATTAAAAAGAAACTGACAAATCATCAAATACATTTCGATAACTTCGCATACAAAATAAAAAGCCGAGGCAAGCATACAATCGGAATGGAATAACCACTTCTGAATTGTAACAACACGTTCTTGGTTGCCAAAGTGCCATCAGTTCAGTCAGAAATACACACAAACAACAACCAATCAGTCAGTCAAATAGTTAAAACATTAATTAGTAAGCTTACTCGGTGAAGAAGATACTCCCTGTTTGAATTACAGATCAAAGCACGGCTCCACATAGAAGTTAAAGTTGCCACGCTGAGTCTGTAGTTAATGATCTTCACTATCCCAAGGACCCTCAGCTAAGCCAGACGGTCCAAACACCCCTTCACATGTTCACACCAACAATCACTACATCGACAGAAGTAAATAATGGTCACTCAACCGCATATTTATGCACAATGTTCGCTGGAACTATTACACCTTTCCTCAGTCTATATACATGAGTTCAGTATGATAGGAGTGATTTCCTGTGACCGCATTGTCAATATACCAAAATAGGACATAATATTACTCCACTAGTGATCTTAACTGCAACATGCCATTTCTCCACATTAAATTATAACTCAATTTCCTACGACCGCCTTTATGAGTTACATTTGACAGATGACGACTGGTGACAATAGCCAGTTCCCTAGGCTAAAATAAGCAGAGCGGGCTTTCGACCTCCTCACCCATTAACTCAACTTTACATACCTAACACAATCAGCCATACATCAACGCACATCAAGCAGATAATTAGACAACAGGATGGAAATAATCTAATCGGTCGTAAAGCAGGATAAAACGAAGAAATAGATGATAATGTAAATAGAGAAATGAGCTATTATAACAAGGATAGGCACAAACCATGAATCCACCCCTATCATCACTACGATCAATTCTGAACACTATCACCAGGAGTTTCTAGCCACAGGTTCTGATCGGCGTGCGGCTGATTCGCTTAAGCGCTCCATTTTCAATCCATGGGTTCGGAATTTAAATCCTGTTAAATCAAACTCCGTCCTTCTCTATGGCGGTGAGACGTGGCCATTGAGAGCGGAAGACATGAAAAGGTTGTCTGTTTTTGACCACAGATGTTTACTATCTCTTTCTCGCGTTAGGTGGTATAATAAGGTAAGTAATGTTGACGTTAGGCGTAGAGTGTTGGTTGGGCAAAGAGGGAAAATCAATCGAAGAGGCTATAAAGTTACATAGATTGAGATGGTTAGGTCACGTGCTGCGTATGCATAACCATCGTCTCCCCCGCCCGACGGGCATTACTAGCTGATATAGGTGCAGGTTGGAAAAGAGTAAGTGGTGGCCAAACAAAAACATGGCATCAATCCATGAAATCCTTGACAGTTAAACTCAGTCAGGTAGGGAGATGCAGACTTCCGGGTTGGGGCCCGCCCTCGGGACTCTAAGAATCAATGGCTGGAGACACCAGGGGACATGGCTCAAAATCGTTGTCAATGGCTTACGCAGATGTATTCAGTCTCTGTAATCTTTCATATTCCTTTCTACCATTACTCATTCTGTTTCACTCTTATACTTGTCAAAACTCTATTGATTCTCTTCACTCATTTTCCTGTCTACCTTTGTGTGCTATTAGGAACGTGGCAACCCGAACTGCTGCACTCCGGTGCCAAGTTCTATGTTGAATCCAGCAGCAGCAGCAGCAAACTCAGCCTGCCCACCTTGGTAGCAACATTAGTCTTCACAAAATATGTGTGATTTACGGCCCAATACACGAGAAATCTGCTCTAGGCAACTCAGTCACTTTATGCTGCTGATATTTTCAATATTCCAAGTATACCCCCACACCAATATCTTACTTTCCCTCTGTGCTATTTGTCCACATTCTCATCCTTATTCTTTATTCCTACTCACAGGAATACAATATACAAAAAGATAAATAAATAAACATAACTATGATACAGAAACAGCTTAAACTGGATACCGGCAATTGATACATATACAATTTTGAATCCTTAATTTTCAAAACCTTCAAGTTAAACTTAAACAGAAAACAGTTACAGTAAATATTTCTTACCGGCTTGCAAACTTTTAAATTCACTCTTCAGATCACTAAAAATACTGCGCAACTTCCTACCTCCCTCTCTTTTTCGCTCATACCTTCTACGCCATCCATCAGCCGTAAGCTTTTCGTTCACCGTTACCAGATTCTTGATGGTTTTAGCTCGCATACCGAACATTAGGGTGGACCTCGTCTCGGCATCATTGTACCCAGCAGGAGAACAACAAATCACCATAGTTGTTCGTGCATTACCTCCAAGAGATTCTTGAAGAATGCGAGTTAGTTTAGAGTCACGATAAGGAACATGAGACTGAAACAGAAAATTATTTAACAGATCAATAGCTTGATAAGGCAGTAGGAGTCATCTTCAAATAAGTACAACATATGCAGACAAGAGATTCAGGTCACCGTAGAGGCTAAAAATATGAGTAAGTGTGACGGATTTTCCTGCCTCAGAAACATACACAGTACAGAACTCTGCTAAGAAGTGAGCACATACAGACATACGTGATCAAAATACAACAATTCAATATCTCACGTGTCATAATCACGTGGAATTTCAAAGTCAACAGTGGCTAGAATACAAGCACTACTACCACCACCACCTGAAAGTATAAACTTACACTTCCTTCCACAAGCGCATTGATCACATTACCAAGAGCAGAAAGCGATTTGTTAATATTTTTGGCTTCGTCCAATACAGTACCCTCAGCGCCTGTCTTCGCAACTGTCACACTATCAGCCAAATCAACAAGATAAAGTTTCCCATATAGTTTCTTTTGAGTTTCCAAGTTCTTTTGTCGAACATTGATTAGGAGTACTGAGTGACTTCGAAGACTGTGCTCGGTCATGTCTATAAATACATAAGCAGTCACAAATTAGTGTCAGCAAATATCCTCAATGTCATATAAACTCCAAGATAACTTAAATTTCATGCACAGAAAACTAATATTTCAGTCAAACCACCAAGCCTAGCTAACAACACTAACGCTCAAGTACGACATATGCTAGGAATACTTACCCGTCACGGCCACACGACGGTTAGCCTTCCCCTCATGAATTGCATCGAAAACCTCTTTTGGAGTGTAAACAAACTTTTCCGTGACACCCTTGGAGATTCTCGTTAGGAGGAATTATAGCTTACTTTCACGCAAGGAACTCGGTCTTTATCCTCATGCACCGGTAGGTTTGTTTTCGAAACTGAATCAAGATATGAATTAGATCGAAAAAATTACCATCAAGCAGATCACGGATTTCTTCCATGTATATTTCGAAGTAAGAAACCTGAAGATAAGAACAGCACCACAAAAATTACCTTAATACGGAACACCAAGTTTTCGTCCATTTGGTGTATATGGTTGAATATATCATGAACTATCCGCGGGATAATACCTTGAAAGACTGGGTCACCTAAAATACCCTGAGGAGAAACAATCAGAAAGCAGAATGTCATACCTCCATAGTAAAAGTCTTTCCACTCGAAGTTTGACCATAGGCGAATATTGTCCCATTATATCCGTTCAGCACATCTGCAACAATGGGCTTGGCCACAACTTGATACACCTCTAACTGAGATGCCTTCGGCTGAACTACATGATCGAAGCTATAGTTTTTACCCTAGATAGAAGAGTTGTCACAAACTAAAAACCATCAAACATACCCCAAGAGATACAGTTGTGTTTCCATCACCGGGGAATGACACCACGAACTTGCTGTCATTTGCTTTCTCTTGCTCATTAAGTGGTCTTACACGGCAGACAACTTTAATGCTCTCGCTCATAGTAACGACACGCTGAGTAACTTCTCGGGAGCCCGCCAATGTCTTCAGGCAATGAGTGAGCACTCAGATAAACAAATCAGAACACATGTTGAACAGCATGCGTAAAGTGAGCATGAATCAAACTGAAAGAGTGTGGGTGAATTCCTTGCAGTCTATACAGTCTCTTTTCGTTGCTCTGTCTCCTCTCCTCAGTGCCAATTTTAAGAGACTTGGTACTCTGTTCATCAATCGTCTGGTTTGTAGAATTTGAGAAGGTTGTCGTGATGGAATGCACGGTAGGGTCCCAGCTGACTACAGTGAGTAGCAATAATGATAATCTTTCATGAAATACGTATTTAGGTTTTGTGCATGCGTGATTTCAAATGGCCTCTGAGGTGGAGAATAGGATTTTCACCATGTGTAGTGGAAATGAAAATAGATGCCATTTGGGTGAAAAGATCCGCAAATAAAAAGACCATAGGTATTTTTGCACTGATAGCTAGATGACAGATCTCTGGTGCATGCCATATCATAGGCTATTGCCAATCAATTACGCGATTCTCGAACCTATCTGAGCAAAAGTTAGGACTGGTGTTTGAACCTCAACTATGAGACGTGATTCGTTAGTAAACAAAAATAGGGTGGGAGAGAAATCCGTGGCTGAATGAACGAAGGAGTGGTCGGGGAGTGAGGGAGGAATATTACATTATTCCAGGTATTTATCTTCAATCGACAGAGAGAGTGGTGAAGGGCACTAACTGTCCGATTAGTGCTTTCCAGTAAACCACTCAGCCGTCGGTGGCTTAACGTTAGAACGCTCGCCAGCCATGCTTGTGGTGCAGGGTTCTATCCTTGGTCGACGCACACCTTTGCCTCGCCAAGCCGGCAATAAGACTAGTAAAGAAAGGAGGTTGGGCATTAGGCTAGTAACTCCACCTCGTAAAAAATGCCACTGCTACCGAAACTGCAAAGCTCTAGTTTGAAGCCTTGCTCCACTGAGAATGTAAAGGAATCAAAAACTAAACCACTGTCCATTGAGTAATAAACAACCATGTAGGTGGAACACAGTCATGCGGAAAGCACTCCAGATGTTAGCAATAAGTTGCCCCCTAAAGAAAACATTGTGGTAACAGTGTGGTGTTTGTGGAGTCCCGAACAGAGGAATTCGATGGCCACTAAATTACATATCAAGGGTGGTTGCACCGCTTCACACTCTTCGGTATTCTCGTTTCGAAGTTATAAGCACCTCCATGATACAAGCACCTAATCTTTGCTTCTATACCCGAGATAACATGGTTATGAAAGTCACTGGCGATGACTGTATGAGTGGCTTCATTCAGCTCAGGATTTTATCCACAGTAAGCTCTGTTAAAGGAAAGCCTGACCTTTTATTTCGCAACATATATATGTTTATCGTTGTTGTTTCGATACTTCGATTATACAGCTATCTTTTTTATATCCTCAAGACTTTTTACCGGAAATCGTGAAAATTCTTGTTTCTGTGATGGTTAAGTCTATCAAACGTGTAATTGCCCTTAAGAGTATGAGATCTAATACTCGTCAACCATCTGAAGGCTTCAGCTACGTTGACGGTTCTACACTTTTGACACCAGACAGACCCAGCGTTATGGTATCTGATATCATGGAGGAACCGACAGAGATGATTTACTGACACTTCAGAAGTTAATAGCAGACATACAGAGCAAGTTTGACACCATTATGCCCCTAGCGCAACTGTGTGACCCATCACAAAATATCTGTCTTGAATCACTTATCAAATGCGAGCTCATAATTGACTATTTGCCTGAAGCTGTTGAGAGGATTATGTCTTCACATAACGTCTTGGCCTACAACATTCTAGACAGAGAGCCTATTGCCAAACTTAAAGCTCCGTGTCTGAAGGCTCGTAATATGTCGTTGACGGAATGTCAGGTTTTGCGTCTTCGTAAGAAATCTGAAAACCACTCATGTCCGGTGCTTTTCAAGTTCAGGTCTGTCGAAGAATCCAGGAATTTTCTGAAAGCTGGTAAGATAATAGGCTCTTCAACACCCTACACTAACATTAAGGTTGCACCTGATTTAACACCGTGCCAAAGACGATGCCGCTCAGGAAAACTGAATGCTTATAACTCTAATAGGACAAATGTAGAATAATATCGGCGTCTGGTGTCTACACGGTGTCAGCTATCTACCGGGAAATATGTCTTGCCTTAGCTGTAGACTGTTCGCTATGCTAGCAAGAAATTAAATAAATAAATTGATTCTCATAGTACGGTACATGAGGAACGCCAGTTTACAGGCATCATCAAATTGTTACAGAAATAGAACCATATAATTCAATCACAATTTACAGGCAGTAGCAAGATATACTTTACATGTTCGCTGGAGATTATACATACACTTGATAAATGTTAATCCCAGTAGTATAAAACAGCCTTTTCACTTATATACAATCTGTTTCTGTGCACAGTTGCAAAAATCTGCTAGATTGTCAGTGGGTGCAACACGTCAGGAAATACAGAAGTATTGTCATAATAATAATAATGTATGTCTTCGCATTCACAAAAGAACCAGGACTTTGGTGGATGGATTATAAGTGCCTGGGAAAAAAAGCTTGAAGTCAGTTTTCAAACATAACTTCGTTGTGTGCAGAATCCTTGAATTATAGTTCATTGATGTGTTATTTTGAAATCAGTGATATGTTTATCTCAATTGATCTGCAATGTCATTGTTGGGAGTTAACAAACATATGCTTTAGACGAATAAATAATGAATTTCTACTGCTCGTGGGTATTTTCTTAGCGTGAGGAAGGTTTATGAATTTCAGCTGTTCCGACAGGAGTTGAGAATGTTAACTGCTCAGCAACATTATGGATATAAGTTCATCACATTATCTAAGGAAAGGTGGGTTATAGTTGATGAGGTATATATGGTGCCGAACGAGTGTACATCTGTCCTTGTGATAGTAATAATATTATATTCTCATTTTTTTACCTGAGGGACGCCAGTTTACAGGCATCATCAATTCGATAAATTACACATACGATTAGTAAGTATAGTTAGTAATGATAATCATAATATATATTTTCCTATCAATGTAGGACACACCAGTTGTACAGGCATGGATAAGTATTATTTAAATTACATGAATTTGATTTATGGTGAAATTACATGGTTGCTCTCCTCTGACATCAGTTAGTGAGCTCATTCTGATAGTTAGTCGTTCAGTGGGGCACATAAAGAAATATTGTCTTCGGATTAACAAAAAAACCCAAGTATGTGTCGGATAAATTACAAATATTTGGGAAAAAATAAAGCTTGAAGTCAATTCCTCCATATAACTTTGTTGTGTGCGGCATCGTATCTTGTTTTATGTTCAAGTTGGGTATTAATTTAAAATGAGTGATTAATTTTTATGATTTTGACATCATTTTTTTGCAAGTAATACGAGATGTGAATTCAACTGAATGCAGATTAATATTGGTCAATTTCAAGCAGATTTGTTTTACTGCACTCAAGTCACCCATAGCCTGCCATTTGTCACAGCATGGTTGCTCCGTGCGAGTAAGTTGATAAACACGTAGAAAGCTATATAAAAACCATTTTAGATCGTTGACAGTGCTTGTATAAGATGCTGTACAGCGTCTTGTTATGGTGACAGTGGATTTCATCAAGGATGCTGAGCCATTACTAGCCAAACCTTGAGGGATAATATATGAGTAAGTGACTTCAATTGTTTCTCAGCTTCACTCGGAATGTAGATCAATGCAACTTGTACTACAAAGTAAATACAACAGAAATGTACCAGAGGACAAAGAAAAAGTATGTGGATTGGGAAATATTTGTTTATATTCGTTGTACATTGTAATTTGATGAACAAAAATTTGTTTCTACTATGTCTTTTTATGCATTTATGCTACTAGTTTATTTATAGTCTCTAGAGAAGTAAAGGTATTTAAGCGCGTTTAGGTACTGTAGTAGACTAATAGTTGATTCGTTCTAGGAATAAACAGTTTATTTATATAGTCGGTAGAGTGAAATAGTGTGTACAGAGAGCGTTTGAAGCTTGAGACTGTATTGCAGTTCCTGACATCTAGGGGCAGATTGTTCCATATTTTAGAATACATGACTGTGAAGAAGTTTTCGCGGAGTGTTGACTTAAAGGCTTTTATTGTATGTCCTTGATGTCTGAGAATGATATTTTGTGTAGGACCTTATAGAAGAATACTAGGTTTATAATTAGTCGTCTTGTCCAGAGTGGGTCAAGTTGTAGAATCATGCACCGTGAGATGTAGTCTTTCTTACATTCGTAGCCAAGTAGTTTTGAGGTAAAATATCGTTGGATACTTTCAATTCTTAGCTTTTCATGTGTGTGAGTGCTGCTAATAATAAATGGACAGTATTCTAGTAGTGACCTCATACAGGTTTTTTAAGGAATTAGCTTGGCTTCATTGTCGTGAAAGTTCCTGAGTATGCATCCTAAGAGCATCCTCGACTTTTGAGTCTGTGATGCCACTTGCTCAGAGAATGTTAGGTTACTCGAGTACCTCAGACCTATGTCAACGACACTTTGGAGTTTGGTTAGGTTAGCCAAATGAAGCGTTAACTTCATGTCGACTGAGGGTGCACCGAAGCAGATCCAGCCACATTTTTTAAGGTTAAATTGGAGGTTCCATAAAGACGACCAAGCAGTCACTTTATCTAGTTCTTATTGTACAACATTCTGGAAGTATCCTAGGTCATCAGATTGGAATGTATAAGCTACTTTGAGGTCATCTGCAAAGATGAATGGTTTCCCATGAGAAAAGCAAGCGCATATGTCGTTAATATATAGGGTAAATAGAAGGAGTCCAATGACACTACCTCGTACTACACCAGAGGTGACTGGGCTAGGTTTCGAAGTTATAGATCCGAGTTTAACTATTTGGGACCTATTGTTAAGGAATGATTTAAGCCATCCTAATAGTGGGTCACGTATTCCTAAGGATTTCAGCTTATGCATTAGTAGTAAATGGTCGACACGGTCAAATGCCTTTGAGACGTCAAAGTAGATGACAAGTACTAGTTGTCGTCTGTCATGACTGC